CAGCACATGTCAAGTTGGTAGTTAAGATCTTGCTAAACACACTGATGTTGATGATAGTCTATCAGACCCTTCAGCCTTGCATAAGCAGCCTTCCTCTTTAAATTTTTGGTACAAAGTCCAAATGTGTTTGCCAGTTGGTGAAGTTTTTCCAAATTTTACATTGAAGGCACGCTGCACAGTCTTGGGTGACTGTGTGCAAGCATATTCCAAGACTCAAAATAACTTCTCTTAGGGAGTGAACGGCATGGCTCCACCTGAACACAGAAAAGTGAAACATTAAATATAAAATCTTGATCTGTTTCTATACATTCTGTGAAAATTTGAGATTATTTCAACAAGAATTGCCAAAATTATTGGCCTGCGAAATGATGTCAATTATTAGGAGACATCCTGTATATTTACCACATAGTAAGATACACAATATAAAATATATGCACTACGAAAGTTTGAAGCCACCCTTGGTAATTTTTTAAATTGGCCCTAAAAGTAGTTGTTTTGTCTTTTAAATAAAAAAAATATTATACATGGTTAAAAAGAAAAAAAAGCGAGACAGAATTTTTTTTATTAGAAATGACTTCTCTTAGGGAGTGAACGGCATCGCTCAACCTGAACACAGAACAAAAATAAAACATTAAATATAAAATCTTGATCTTTTTCTATACATTCTGTGAAAATTTGAGATTATTTCAACAAGAATTGCCAAAATTATTGGCCTGCAAAATTATGTCAATTTTGGAGGAGACACCCTGTATTTAGATTTCGACATTCATTAACCCATGCCGCTAATCAAAATCAACCAAATAATATTTATAAGTCTTCTGTTCGTCTCTGCTTTGAATATTGCTGCTAAATATGGTCTGGTGCATCTGTTATACATTTAGAGATCCTCAATAAAACCCGAACAAGAATCTGCCATTTTGCTGGTTCAGACCTGACATCTTGCGTTCAGTCACATTCCCACCGCCATAATTATAGCTTCCCTGTGCCCTATCTATAAATACAATGTGCGAAAGGAATACTTCACACATAATGGTAGGGAATTAGCTAAATGTAGACATCATTTGTCCTAATGTATTACTATTATATGAATGGTATCTCTGGGTGGTATATGTGGGAGGTATTTCTGCCGTAGCACGTATTTTCATGGTAATTATTCTGATGAATTTTCCTCTATGAAACCTAGACTTATTTAATTTAATCTCAGTTCTAGATTGGCTAAACTACAAGAAGACAGAAGGCATGGTCATCAGCAAATGCAATATACAGGTCGAGGACACTAAAATCAAGCAGGTGCGGAAATTTAAATATCTGGGAAGTGTTCTGATGGAGGATGGTAAGTGCGACGCTGAGATCCGAAGACGTATTGGAATGGCCAAAGACGCATTCCAAAAGCTAGGCAGAGTATTAAGAAACAGGAGGATTTCGTTGTTAACAAACGAAAGAGTACTGAACTGCTACGTGATATCTGTTCTCTTTTACGGCAGCGAATGTTGGGCGGTTTTCTCAAAGATGAAGAAAAGACTCCAGCCAACGGAGGTATGGCTCTACAGAAGGATGCTAAGGATATCATGGGCCGAACACACACACACACACACACATATATATATATATATATATTGAACAATAAAAATATAAAAAAAATTATAATTTTAAGAAATACTGGGTTGTATATTAATGTTTTTTTACATTATTATTTCAGTTAGCTTCCTCGACTAGTTTCGACCAGTATGGCCATAATCAGGAGCGAAAAAAAAGCCTTCTTATTAGTAGCAAGTGAACTACAGGAATGAATGAATTTCTGGAGAAAATGATCTTTATCTGTAATTTTCATTTGTTTTTTAGCGTTAATTGTGGTCAATTCTTGTGTTGGTCAAACGGCCTCTTTTAAGATTGAAGCTGGGGAAATTCAGAAAACCCTTCTTGTTAATTTTTACAGTTTGATTGGTTGCTGGGAGGGGGATGCGTGTGTATTAAGTGTATGTTATCTTTTAGTTCTTTGGGAGTGTATATGATGTGAGTAAGTGTATATATTAGTATGATGTGTATAAGTGTGGGACCTCAACACCTTCACTATCATGTCTGTCTTGTGTGGGTGAGAAATGTGGGTAGGGCTTGCTTTATGGAGTTTATATATTTCTATTTTTTCAATTACAGTGAATTTGGCATGGCTTTTAAAATCGTGTTTTTCTAGGCAGAAATCTTGTTCTGCAGGTATATAACTTTAAAAATTAGGAAGTCAGTTGATTCCGCTGCTTTGGTTTCAGCCTTACGTTAACCACGGGCGATTTTTATTAAATGACCTCTTATCTAAAAATGAACGCTATATTATTATTTTAATAATATAGCGTTAAAAGTTAAAAGCTCTACTTGTTATTTTTAAGTTTTTACATCACAGCCATAGCTGTGGTAGTCACTTCTGGCTTGAGACTAAAAAAACAAGAACAAGAATAAGAACAATATATATATATATATATATATATATATATATATATATATATATATATTATTAATATATATATTCATAAATTATAACATTATCAATACAACATGACAAAGACGATGTACATAAGAACAAGACTTATCCAAACAGATAACTGAAATTTTTATAAGAATTATGAATATGTCCTGAAGATGGTTTATTATAGCGAAACGTCCGACGTTGACATATTAATATTAAAACAGCATAATTGTATATGAGAGTTTTTGTTTGATTTTTCCGTATATATTTTTCTTCATACTGTGATCGATCTATATATATATATATATATATATATATATATATATATATATATATATATATATATACCCTGATTATTTTTTTTGTTCTCGGTAATTATTAATGAATGTGTTTGAAGTTAAAATAACAAATGAGTATATCTATTTTTGTAGTGATTTTATAACATATTTATGTTATAATTTTCCAATAAATAATTATATATATATATATATATATTCTTTTTTAACGATATCAAAGGTGAAACATAATACTGATGGTCAATAGACCATACATCCTGGTATTGGCAGGTGTAATTGTTTGAGGACAAAAATAATGTGTGTGTGTTTAATATATATATATATATATATATATATATATATATATATATATATATATATATATATGTTTTAGCGATATCAAAGGTGAAGTATAATTTGATTGTTAGATCAGAGATCACGGCCAAGGACACTGTAGTCCATTTAGGATAAAGGAACAAATATATATATATATATATATATATATATATATATATATATGTGTGTGTGTGTGTGTGTGTGTGTGTGTGTGTGTGTGTGTGTGTATGTATATATATATATATATATATATATATATATATATATATATTTTGTTTTACAGATATCCAAGGTGAAATATAATACTGATGGTTAATAGACCATGCATCAGTGAAATTGACAGGTTTAGTCGCTTAAGGCTAAAAGATAATAGTGTATATATATATATATAAATATGTATATATATACACTATACTTATCAGCAATCAATATACCACATAACACCCTTGAGCGCTTAGCCTTGGCGCGGGTAGAATGGAGATCAACGTGTTTTAGTGGACTCAGCAATTTTCAATCTGCTTGTCTGAATCATCTTCAAGAAGCGAGAGCAAGATCTAAAAGGTCAGCCAATCTAACCGTGATCTCATCTCACAATCCTCACACTTGCTCCATGTGTGGACTCCTTTGTAAATCACTAGCGGGTCTTAAATGCCACTTTAGATTATCGCACAAACTTTCATAACTGAATCAAGTAAGCTGTCAGATCCTGTCGAAGCCGTCGGGAGAATCCATTATTATTATTATATATGGGATTAATGTGAGTAGAAGTTTGTCTCTTAGCTGATTGATGTTATCTTCAGCATCCTGACTCCAGGTTTTCGTAGGCAGACCTGTCTGTCCACTCTTCAGGGGATATCAGCAATTTACTGCTTATATTTTTTCATTTTTTTCCTTTCTATATACATTTAACAATGGTGTAAGTTTTTATGTATTTTTTGTGTTTGTGTGTGCGTACAGCCATGTTCCTGGATTTATATTTATTTTCACAATTCAAAAACATTGCCTAAACATAATGGTTAGGTGTAACCGTAGGTTCTATTCTGACAGTTTCTTCTCTTGCCCTTCTCACTTGTGGAACTCTCTTCCAGCTTCTTGCTTTGTAGTCAAGTTTGATCAACAAAAATTTAAATGCAATGTCAGTCGTAATCTTCAGGCTTCTTAATTCATGTTCTTTTATTGTTCTCTCTCCTTAATAATGTTTTTTTTTCATTTTATTCTGTCAAATTCAGTAACCTCTTCTGCGTGTTTGTGGATTTATTGTCTTGCTTGGGGTGAAATGATTTTAAAAAAAACATTTCGAACTCCATGATTTTCTGACGGCACCAGTTAACATTACTTTTCTATTATGTGCCCTGTCCTTTCAGGACGTGGGCGATCATGGCTCTCCATCTCCTTCTATCCCTTGCAGCTCTCCACAAGTTCCTTCCCTTGCTTCTTCGCCCAGACCACGTTCTGTCATCCATTAGCTTAAGGCCGTTAGGTATGTCACGCGTTGTTTTCCCTTGTTTCTCTTTCCCGCTATTCGACCTGTGAGTATCAGATTCTCCAGGTCCTCTTTCCTCATTATGTATCCCAGAAAGTTCAGCTACCTTTTTTGATGTTAAGTATAAGCCTCCTCATTGTTTGCAACCTCTCTAAGACCTCATCGTTGCTCACACCCTCGGTCCAGGATATCCTTAGCATCCTTCTGTAGAATCACATTTCTGTCTCCTCGAGTCTCTTCTTCATCTTTGAGGAAATCGTCCAACTAGTGAAATAAATAAATCAATAAATAAATAAAGACTATCGTTTAGGTGAGGATGTTGATTAGGTGTGTGTAAGAGTGTGCAAAAGAAAGAAAGAAAGAAAAACTATTGTTTAGGTATGAATAAGGGCGTGCGAAAGGCATAGAAGGCGGTATAAAAAAGAAAGAAAGAAAGAAAGACTATCGTTCAGGTATGAATAAGAGAGTGCGAAAGGCATAGAATGAGGGTGAAAGAAAGAAAGAAAAAAAAAAGAAAGAAAGAAAGAAAGAAAGAAAGAAAAAAATTATCGTCTAGGTATGAATAAGAGCGTGCGGAAGGCATAGAAGGAGGTAAAAGAAAGAAAGAAAGAAAAAAAGAAAGAAAGAAAAACTATCGTTTAGGTATGAAAAAAAGCGTGCAAAAGACATAGAAGGAGGTAAAAGAAAGAAAGAAAGAAAGAAAGGAAGGAATAAAGAAAGAAGGAAAGAAAGAAAGAAAAACTATCGTTTAGGTATGAATAAGAGCGTGCAAAAGACATCGAAGGAGGTAAAAGAAAGAAAGAAAGAAAGAAAGGAAGAAAGAAAGAAAGAAGGAAAGAAAAACTATCGTTTAGGTATGAATAAGAGCGTGAAAAAGACATAGAAGGAGGTAAAAGAAAGAAAGAAAGAAAGAAATGAAGAAAGAAAGTAGGAAAGAAAAACTATCGTTTAGGTATGAATAAGAGCGTGAAAAAGACATAGAAGGAGGTAAAAAAAGAAAGAAAGAAAGAAAGAAAGAAAGAAAGAAAGAAAGAAAGAAAACTATCGTTTAGGTATGAATAAGAGCGTGCAAAATACATCGTAGGAGGTAAAAGAAAGAAAGAAAGAAAGAAAGAAATGAAGAAAGAAGGTAAGAAAGAAAAACTATGGTATAGGTATGAATATGAGCGTGAAAAAGACATAGAAGGAGGTAAAAGAAAGAAAGAAAGAAAGAAAGAAATGAAGAAAGAAGGAAAGAAAGAAAGAAAGAAATGAAGAAAGAAGAAAGAAAGAAAAACTATCGTTTATGTATAAATAAGAGCGTGCAAAAGACATAGAAGAAGGTAAAAGAAAGAAAGAAAGAAAGAAAGAAAGAAAGAAAGAAGGAAAGAAATGAAGAAAGAAGGTAAGAAAAAAAAACTATCGTTTAGGTATGAATAGGAGAAGAAAAAGAATAGAAGGAGGTAAAAGAAAGAAAGAAAGAAAGAAAGAAAAGAAAAAAAAGAAAGAAGGAAAGAAAGAAAAACTATCGTTTAGGTATGAATAAGAGAGGAAAAAAGACATAGAAGGAGGAAAAAAAGAAAGAAAGAAAGAAAAGAAGGAAAGAAAGAAAAACTATCGTTTAGGTATGAATAAGAGAGTGAAAAAGACATCGAAGGAGGTAAAAGAAAGAAAGAAAGAAATGAAGAAAGAAGGTAAGAAAGAAAAACTATCGTTTAGGTATGAATAAGAGCGTGCAAAAGACGTAGAAGGAGGTAAAAGAAAGAAAGAAAGAAAGAAATGAAGAAAGAAGGAAAGAAAGAAAAACTATCGTTTAGGTATGAATAAGAGCGTGAAAAAGACATAGAAGGAGGTAAAAGAAAGAAAGAAAGAAAGAAAGAAAGAAAGAAAGAAATGAAGAAAGAAGGAAAGAAAGAAAGAAAGAAATGAAGAAAGAAGGAAAGAAAGAAAAACTATCGTTTAGGTATGAATAAGAGCGTGAAAAAGTCATAGAAGGAGGTAAAAGAAAGAAAGAAAGAAAGAAATGAAGAAAGAAAGTAGGAAAGAAAAAATATCGTTTAGGTATGAATAAGAGCGTGCAAAATACATCGAAGGAGGTAAAAGAAAGAAAGAAAGTAAGAAAAGAAATGAAGAAAAGAAGGAAAGAAAGAAAGAAAGAAATGAAGAAAGAAGGAAAGAAAAGAAAAACTATCGTTTAGGTATGAATAAGAGAGCAAAAAGACATAGAAGGAGGTAAAAGAAAGAAAGAAAGAAAGAAATGAAGAAAGAAGGAAAGAAAGAAAAACTATCGTTTATGTATAAATAAGAGCGTGCAAAAGACATAGAAGGAGGTAAAAGAAAGAAAGAAAGAAAGAAAGAAAGAAAGAAAGAAAGAAAGAAAGAAATGAAAAAGAAGGTAAGAAAGAAAAACTATCGTTTAGGTATGAATAAGAGCGTGAAAAAGACATAGAAGGAGGTAAAAGAAAGAAAGAAAGAAAGAAAAGAAGAAAGAAGGAAAGAAAGAAAAACTATCGTTTAGGTATGAATAAGAGCGTGAAAAAGACATAGAAGGAGGTAAAAGAAAGAAAGAAAGAAAGAAAGAAGGAAAGAAAGAAAAACTATCGTTTAGGCATGAATAAGAGCGTGCAAAAGACATCGAAGGAGGTAAAAGAAAGAAAGAAAGAAATGAAGAAAGAAGGTAAGAAAGAAAAACTATCGTTTAGGTATGAATAAGAGCGTGCAAAAGACATAGAAGGAGGTAAAAGAAAGAAAGAAAAAAAGAAATGAAGAAAGAAGGAGAGAAAGAAAAACTATCGTTTAGGTGTGAATAAGAGCGTGAAAAAGACATAGAAGGACGTAAAAGAAAGAAAGAAAGAAAGAAAGAAAGAAAGAAATGAAGAAAGAAGGAAAGAAGAAAAACTATCGTTTAGGTATGAATAAGATGTGCAAAAGACAAAGAAGGAAAGGGAAAAAAGAAAGAAAGAATAAAA